ACAGCTCTTATACTAAATGGAAGTCGTGGCAATGATTGAAGCTTGCTACAACCATCCAAAACAAGTTCTCCAAGCTGAGAAAGCTGAGAGATGCTTTCAGGTAATTGGCTTATAGCAGTCCCGCTAGCATATAGCTCCTGTAAACATTTTAAACTCCCCAAGTTCTCTGGTAACTCATTAAGATTCGAACATCCTGAGAGGTTGAGAATTTGAAGTGATGTCAAATTAGTACAAATGACATCTGGCAGAGTCAAAAGGTTCTTGCATTCTCTGAGATTGAGCAGAGTAAGGTCAGTCAAATGCTTGATTGATGTTGGTAGCTCTTGTATAGCTGTCCTGCTTGCATAGAGCTCCTGTAGACATTCTAAACTCCCTAAATTTTCTGGTAACTCATTAAGATTGGAACAACCTGAGACGTTCAGTATTTGAAGTGATGTCAAACTAGTACAAATGACGTCTGGCAGACTCGAAAGGTTCTTGCAGTCTCTAAGATTGAGCAGAGTAAGGCCAGTCAAATGCTTGATTGATGTTGGTAGCTGTTCTATTGCTGTCCCATCTAAATGAAGCTTCCTTAATTGTTTCATGTTCTCCCCAATCTCTGGAAGCTTTTTGAGTTTGGAACACCCCGAAAGAATGAAATTTGTGAGAGATCTCAAGTTGATATTGTCGGGAACCGCAGGCAAGCTTGTACAACCTTTAAGGATTAGCTGCTCAAGGTTTGGGACTTTGTCGAACTCAGGGGTCTTGATCAACTTTTGACAATCACTAAGGTTTAATACCGCCAGCTTTTCCAAGGGCTGTAAAGAAATTCATAAAAATAAAATAATAAAAACAAAAGTAGTATATAATTGTTAAACAAATTCATACCATAGGCTAAGGTTGAGTTAACTTGATAAACAAATTCAAACTAAGAAATGGACTGAATAAATAATCTTACTTTCTCAATGACCTCCCATAATTCCTCAATTTCACATTGAGTCAAGTTCAGTTCAACAAGTTTGTTGGGTTCGAAACTTGAAGGCAGACATTTTAAAGGACATTTGTGCCATTCCAGTAAGCTTAACTCATCTGAAAGATATTCAAGGCATCCAGAAAATTCTACATTGTAAATCTTCAACAATCTTAGATTGTCCATGTTTGAGAATGGATCTTTCTTCATGTGTACTTTGTCTGGCTGAGGCGAGCTTAGGAAAATACCTTGAACAGCATCTGTCCCCTAATAGCCATAGTAGAAAAATATTTATACCATAGACTATTAGCAACAAAAAACCAAAAATTCAAAATTCAAATAAAGTGGACATGTTATCTTGAAATTAAATAAACAACATTTTAATCTAAGTAAATGTGCAACATAGGCATTTGAAAGCACATTTGTTTCTCAAAACTCATTAAATATTAGTGATGATGAAGTCAAAATGCATTTATTAGGGAGTGCTGTATGATTCTTCTAAACTTCTCACCTTGTTTTTCTTCAGTACAGGAAGGGCATCTGTATGATGCCACAATCTGCTGCGTTCTCCTTCCTTTTTGGATTCTCCAAGAACAATTCCTCTGCCCATTTTCTGTAGTAAATCATGCATCCACAATCTTCCCCCTACAATACTAACTAAAGATTTCTCACAGAGGATGGTTATATTGATGCCTGGATAGTAGCCACAACTTTCAAATATCTTTTCTAGACGACATACATCCTCGCCTTTGAAGAAACATGCAGTGTCCAAAAACATGTCCTGCTGTTCTTGATTCTCTAATCCATCAAAACTTGCTTTAAGAACACCAATAATTTTCTTCTCACCAGAGTAGCCTTTATCTTTTAAAGACTTCAATTTGGTAGACCAATAATCTTCTTCTCTTTTCCATAATGAGTGACCGAAAACTTCAAGAGCCAATGGATGACCATCAATGTAATCTACAAATTCGTTAGACAACTTCTTAAAAGCATCCGTGGGATGGTCTGTTTTGAGGGCTTTCCGACAGAAGAGAAGAAGAGCTTGATCCGGAGTAAGTTTCTCAATTGTGTATATTTCTGGGTTATAATCTATCAACAACCTTTCATCTGTTGTGGTTACGATGATTCTGCTTCCCTTACCAAACCGATTGGATAAGCCTGCACCGTCGCTTCCACCTACAGCTTGTATTTGTTCTAATTCATCCACGTTGTCAAGAATTATAAGCACCTGTTTGTCACGCAATCTCTTACATATCACATCATCAACATCCTTTGTGGTTACTTTCTTATTCAGCAAGTGATCACAAAGTTGTTCTTTGATATGAAATAAGCTTTCTTTTTTAGATATCTCTCCAACCTTGGAAATGAAACTGATAGCATCGAATTGACTGCGAATTCTTTGAGAAAGAGCTTTTGCAACAGTACTCTTACCAATCCCTGGCATCCCACAAATCCCTATTACACGAACTTCTTCCGAATCCATACACAAACTCATTTTGGATTTAATTTCATTTACACGATCCATTCCAACAAAGTCCTTTAAATCATCATTTGGGAATGTTTTAATCAAAACACCAAAAATACGTTCAACTATCTTTTCAATCATATCTGTCTCGTATCTGCAAAAAGTTAGAGCATTCTGTTACGTATTTGGGTCAGTATACCTCATAATTAAAGACGAAAAAATGTAAAACTTGTCGTGTTTTCTAGTCAGACTATACTTGTAGTTAGATTTCCGGCCTCTCAACATGCACCCTTCTCATGTCATGTGGACTTCTCCTGTACTTTAATAAAATGGTGTATTCGGTTTTGATTTATATGGCCTATTATAGAGTTTTTCTTTGAGTGATACTCTTGTGGACTTTATACAATATTTGATCAATCTAGCTAGTTTGATCTCACGATCAAACACTCCCTAGACACAACTCTGATGACTAATGTAGTGCATAGGGTCCTTTATTAGTGAATCTCTACTAGGGTTAATATCACAAAACGTCCCTAAGGTGTATGAAACTATCAGATTGCATCATTAATGTTTTTTTGTGCCATTCGTGGTTCCCAATGTTAGTATGTGTGCTCACAAATAGTCCCTGTCGTTAGGTTCCATCAAAAACTCCGTTTGTTTGCTAACGTGGCATATATATATCACAAAACATCCATGAGGTTCACGCACCTATCACAAATAGTCTCTGCGATTTTTTTTTTATTTTTTCATTTAAAATTCATAAAATTTTGGTTTTCTTTTTTAAATTATTTAAAAATATATATTGTATTTTAAATACACGTGATAGTATATTATTGGAGATGTGGGCTCCATATATATGCCACATCAACAAACTAATGGAGTTTTTGAAAAAAAAAATTAAAATTCATAAAATTTAAAAATGAAAAAACTATTTATAGAAGGATTTTGACCTTGAGGGCCATTTATGAACCCTAAACCCTTGGTTTTTTCATTTTAAAATTTTATGGATTTTAAATTATTTTTAAAAAAAACTCCATTAGTTTGTTGATGTGGCAAATATGTGGAGCTCATATCGCCAATAATATAGTGTCATGTGTATTTAAGATACAATATATATTTTTAAATAATTTAAATTTCATAAAATTTAAAAAAGAAAACCAAAATTTTATGAATTTTAAATGAAAAAAT